GGGTTTTTTTTTTTTTCCCCGCTCCCCCCTCACCCCCCCTTGGGTCTCTGCACAAAATAATACATTCCAATTTCAGTAACTCCCTGCAAATTATGCATTTGGCCCGACTAAAATCTAGTGCATTTCAAGCACCGTTCCTGCTTTGATCGATAACACCCCTTCGCCAGAACTTAATAATTACGTTCGATTAACTGAGCGCATCTGGTTGGAGGCAAATTGAAGAGAGCCGGGGGATGTAATGGCTGGTTGCTAGCTGTTGGAACTAGTTTGTGACTGCATTTTTTCTGTTTGTCCATCCACCTTCCTTTTAATTTCTGTTGCATAACGCGGCGATGCAATATTGTTTTCTTCACCACTTCCAAAGCCAGACTCCCATTAGCCCGCCATGTTCATCCACTTTGCACTCCTTGGACACAAAGCTTTAACAATTGAACTGTATTCCGTGCATTTTAATATAAACTAAAAACACAACGCAAATGCAATACTTTTTAAAACATGGTATTTCAAAGTGTGTTATTATTATTGTATAGGGCTAAGTACTCTTTCAGTATTCTGTGTCATTTCTGTATTCTGTGGGCTTCTCTTCACCTTCCTACCTTTGCACTAAGTTGTGTCACTGTAACCATTTGTAGACCTGCCATTGTTACAGTTTGCACTTATCCAAATGGGGTTTTTTTGGTTGTTTTTGTTGGGTTTTTCTTTTTTTTTTTTTGTGTTTGTTTGTTTGTATATAATGAAGGAAAAAACTGGAAATAATGTCAAGGTACCTCAGCTATTTAACAGCTCTAGAAAACTGCTGTAAACTTGTTCTGGACTGTTGTAACTGTTTTAATAACTGACGTTTAAAAAAGAAGAAAAAAAAAAAAGAAAAAAAAAAAACCTCTGTGTGAGAAAACTTGCCTGCATTGAAATGCTGTTCTATGCTGGTTGTACTCAAGTGTTATTTTTTTAATAGTGAGAAGATTTTTTTTTTCTTTTTTTTTTGCCTTTTTTTTTTTCCTTTTCTTTTCCTCATTTTTGTTCCTACATTTTAGGCTGTCTTCAGAAGTTACTGGCCTGGGGGCTCTGTAATGTATCTCATCATGCCCTAGTGCATTAGCCACCAGACAGGACTTTCCCAAAGCCCCATGAGACAATGCTTTCTATGGACTAATCTACAGAGGAGTTTCTGCCATTTCTAACTTTCTTATTATTCTGAGACATCAAAAGAAATACTTCTTTTACTCTTTAAGCAACTGTGCTTCCTAACTCTTGTGTTGCTTTCATTACTGTTCCAGTTTTAACACTGTTGTGGCTCATAACATAAAGCAAAGCAAAGTTATTTTTTGGGGGTTAATTTTCCTTGCTGTTCATGCTTTGGCTAAGTCTGTATAAAAGCATGGGCTGTTAGTGTTCTAAATCATTGTATTCAGCTAGAGACTTGACAGTAAATTAAATGAGACGTTTTTATAAATAAATTTTTTTCCTGATTTAAAAACCAACGTGGTAGCTTTGTGCATACAACTGTTGTGTTGTTTAAAATTTGTTCTTTGTAACCGAGTTGCTAATTTGTCATTTGAGAAACACTATTTTATGGATTGTCAAACTAAGATCATAGACAAATTGCTTGTTTTCATTAATGATTAAAGGTTTCATATCATCA